AGCTCTTTTTAATTGGCTTAAAGGAAGTAAGTACTTATATAAATTAAGCGCAATATAACAGAAACTAACCCAAATGTTTTTCAGGCTATTGAAAAGTACCAAGTATTAAAGCTAATTTAAGTTTGTTGGTTTAATTAATAAAGCATGTGTTTAGAGTTATTAGAATTAAGTATACTTTTATTCTATCTGGGTTTATTAGTCAAGTAAATTCATGTTATCTCTATTGCAAAATTTGTCAAGAGAAAAATAACTTAAAATGATGGCTACCTTTGTCTAATATGTCATGAAATTTTCCTGAGTAATCTAAATATAATTGTTAACAACAAATGAATTAAATATAAAATAAGAGTTTTGGGGTCAGTTTTTAGCAATAATTGTGTGTAAGCACTTAAAAATAATTTTCCAAAATCTTTTTCATAACTTAAAATCTTAGAATGTTCCTAAGTTAAATAAAATGAAAATTATTAAAAATCTAGATCATTTCCAGTTACAATAACCTAATGAAACATTAATTACTGAACACAGGTTTTCTATTACAGAGGAACTAAACATATTTGGGCCTATTGGTATAATGTTTTTTGACACATTGGAAATTTTTATTAGGACAGAGAAGATACTCCTAAAAATTTTGAAATGTATTTATAAGTTTGCTAATCTACAGCAGGATGCTAATATATGATAAGCAGTTTATATTTGTTTTCTTTCTAGTTTACACCGGAAAGCAACATTACAAATACTTTAAAAAGTTGGGAAAGAGTTCAGAATACAACATAAATCAAAGAGTAAATGCCAGGTAACTCAGAGTCATAATCATAAATTAACTCTGCACAAAATGTGCATTGATGCTGAGAAAATGCAGGCAAAATGGCAGTCATCCCCTTTGGAAGAAGAAAGGCAATGGAACTCCCATGAGAGATTTCTCCTACTGTGGAAGGATTTATTGTAACTTATTGTTTTTCTGTGGTTACACATTATTGGTGAGTTATGATTAACATTTATTTAAATTAAAAATATACATATTATCAATATTTACCTGTATGACTACATGGATAATGTATATCTTCAATTATATTTATAATTTGTGGATAGATTTATTGTAGATTTATATATCATATAAATGGATTTATCTATATATAAATAAAAGAGAATAACTTTATAAAATACAGAATGGAATGCATAAGTGACTTATATTGAAAATGAAAATTACATTTCAGTTTTTTGTTTGTTTTTTAGCTGAGCCATCCTGCCACCTGTTGGCAGCTCAGCAGCAGCTCAGCTCAGGCCTGGAATCAAACCAGCGACCCTGTTGCACAGAGCTCGTACTCTTCAGCAAGCTCTTAACCAACTGAGTCATTTGGCCAGCCCTTACATTTCAGTTTATTGAACTCTTATTTTAGTTGCTTATATGGTTTTTACATGTAAATATATGCTAGGCCATAGTATATACTATACTTTTATTTATTTATTTTTTAAAGATTTTATTGGGGAATTGGGGGAGGGGAACAGTATTGGGGAATTGGGGAAGGGGAATAGACAAGTTGCTGTCCTTTTGTTCTTCAGTATAGTTGTGGAGGACATTGCTTTACTGGCCCATGTTGGTATTATCATCGTACTCTTCCTGGGTGAGGCAAATCGGTTGCTGGCCACTGGACAGCCGCTCACAGCAGCTCTTGGCAGCTCACATCAGCTGCCGGCTACTCACCTGGCTTCCAGCCACTCATGGTAGCTCACGGCAGCCCACTGCAGCAGGGGCTGCAGCTTACGCCATCCCTGGTGACTCACGGCAGCCCAGCTCCAGGTTGAGCTGTTGTTCACTATCTTAGTTGTAGAGGGCGCAGCGTCACTGGCCCTCATGTGGGACCTGAACCGGGGCCCTGCTGCTCAGAGCTGGCATCCCAAGCCAACTCCTAACCAACGTGCCACTTGGCCAGCCCTCTACTCTTCAGTGCCGTTCCCACAACAGCTCAAATATGGACTAATAATACCTCTGTCTTCCTCTTCTACAATCCAACACGGACTGCCTTCCACTCTAAATCCACCACTTGCTACAACATCTTCCAAGCCAATACCAGCTAAAAGTAACACAATACCTAAAAACCTTCACTGATGCCCATGACAAGGCCATGATAAGGCCCATGACAAATTCAGGCCCATCGTAGACCCCTTAAGTACCTCTGCTCACATCCACACCACAGCCACCCTTCGGCATCTTCCGCTCACAGGCCACTGGCAACCCCATGGGCACCTTAGACCCCAATATCTTTAATACCACCATCACTATCTCACCCTCTCTTACTCATTCCACCTCCTCCGCAGGTTCCTTTTTCCAACAACCCCTCCGCTTCTCCTCCCATCCCAGCCTCAGCACCGCCGGAACAACTAACATTAACACCCTATACTGTCAGGGGAGGTCTCAGAGCCCAATAAGACTCCCCCCTGGTTCTTCCATACCGGAAAAAAGGGATCCAACAGTCTTAAGCTACCTATTCCATCTGACCCAGCTAACTTTTACCTCGATACATTCAAATTCCATCTCTTTCGACATCAAAACCCTACATCTGACATTCCCATAAAGTTTCTCACGGGGTCCACAGTATCGGGCACATTTAGTATTTGGGACAAGGACAGCACCCCTGAGAAATATGTGGGAACCTTAACCCCTTTCTTCTCCCTCGACATCTTCACCTGCCTTGATCCCTCTGGCCTCTTCTTCCTCTGCGGAACCTCCACAAATGCCTGCCTCCCCACCAACTGGACAGGCATCTGCACCCTAGTTTTATTTTTTCCAGATATTTAGATCACCCCAAATAATTAATCTCTACCTGTCCCCATATACACTCTCATGTGCTGAAAAAGGGCTGTTTTCCTCATTCTATTCCTAGTATCACTGGGCATCTCTGTGGGGTAGCGACTGGAACAGCAGGAGTAGGGGTCTCCTTACACCACTTGCCCAGGTCCAGAAAAACAGAGACCGCCAAAAGAACCAATGAAGCTCCTGGTTTATGGGTAGCGGGGGCCCTTAGCTTCTCCGCCTCGTAGGGCCTCTAATCATTATCTTTTTGGTCTTAGCCTTGGGTCCCTGCCTCCTCCACCTTTTCACCCTATTCCTGCAGAGCCAACTCCAGGGGTTCACAAATGGATCTTCTATGAAATGCTTTTCCTACAACAACATTACCAGCCCCTTCCACAATGTCTCCCTCCTCTCGCTGTCCCCATTCAGCCTGAAGCAGCTACAGAAGAGAGACGCAACGGACCCTCCTCTCCTATTTAATAACAAACAAGGCTAGAATGTTAGGTCTCTGAATGTTAGGTCTGAGACCTTGACTTACAGACAGAGCCATGTCTGCAAGAAAACAACAAAATGTCTGTTGGCCTGCACCTGCAGACAGAGCCAAACTTGCGGTAAACAGAAAATGCCATAAAATAGCTACTGGCTTATAGGCAGTTAGCATTTTCTGTTCAAACAATGCTAACCTGTCAGCACTGCCCCTATATAACCTCACCTCCTCCCTCAGGGCTGTAGTCTCCTTTAGACGCAGCTAGCCATATTTGCTCAGTGTTGCAAGCACCTGGAAGGACAGTCACCACATTTCAGTCTCTTCCTGAAAGTCAAGGGGACATTAACCCCTCTGCAGGGCCCTATGTCCCTGCGTGGTACTCATGAAATGAGTGGGGAACAAAGTCCCACCACACAGGTTCAGATAGAGTAACACAGCTTTATTTGGGAACTAACATCCCTCCAGAGGCCAGTGCTCTGGTAAGCACAGGTTATACAAAATAAAATAGAATTTAATAACGAACCAAGTCCCAGTGTCAATCAAGGTGGAGAAGGTCCCTGGTCCGGGAGAGACGACCGGGCCCCCGATAAGTCTGAGACAAGCTGGCCTTGCAAGGAAGAACTTAGGAGAGTCCCAGAGTATCATGGCTTGCACCTCACAGAGGGTCTTAGCTGGAGCGCCCAGTCGGACTACTCATGGCACTGCTCTCGAGCTCTGCTTATTATCCTCTTTTCCTTGGACTTGTTTACTTCTTAGGTGATAACCAGAAATTGTTTTGATGAACATGTTTACCACTCAATTTTGTTATGCTCTGTTTCACACATAAACATGTTTATTTTCACTTTACTCTTTATCAGTCTCACACATGTGCGGCCATATTCCTGGCTTGCATCCCTATTAGTAAACAACTTGTTTTGCAAACCTCAATCCAACAACAACCTTGTTTATAGAATATTTTATATGCTCTATGCCCTCAGCCCAATAGACTTTCTCTCCTTCATAATAAACTCTCTTAACTTACCTGACCATGCATACTCCTTTATCGGATATTAGTTAGGGATTTTTATATTCAAGCCATCCTATGTGGTTATTTTCAGTCTCCTGAGCGTGTCAGGTTTAACTTGTGGCCCCTTTTCTGTCCACATAAATAATATGTTTAATTTTCAGTCTGGTAGTCATATCTGCTTTCTTATTATCTTTGTATACAAATGTTTGAGATACAGTGCCCTAGTCCAAAGGTTATTCTGACCAGTTTTTTTTTGTTTGTTTGTTTTAAAGATTTTTATTGGGGAACTGGGGGGTTGGGAACAGTGCTGGGGAATTGGGGGAAGGGGAACAGACAAGATGCTGTCGTTTTGTTCTTCAGTCTAGTTGTGGAGGACCTTGCTTCACTGGCCCAAGTTGGCACCATCATTGTGCTCTTCCGGGCGAGGCAGATCAGTCGCCGCTCACTGTGGCTGCTGGCTACACACGGTAGCCCATGGCAACCCACTGCCACAGGGGCTGCAGCCTACAACGTCGCCAGCGACTCATGGCAGCCCAGCTCCAGGTTGAGCTGTTGTTTAGCATCTTAGCTGTGGAGAGCAGTGTCACTGGCCCTAATATGTGGGATCCGAACCGGGGCCCTGTGGCGTCCCAAGGCAGTTCTTAACCATCGCGTCACTCGGCCGGCCCTATTCTGACCAGTTTTAGTATTCCCAAGATTTGAACAGTAAGACCTACCTGCAAGGCAGTTCCCCTGGAATGGCAGCTCAAACTGCATTTTAAAGTGCCCTGTTTATATTCTTTTTCATACCTTTAAAACAATAAAAAACTTAATTACCTACTGTTTGATTGATTCAGCCTAAAGATTCCCAATGATAATATCAACGGTTTTATTAAATGTTTCATTTTTCTTTCTTACCTTTTTAATAGCTCCTCTTAGCAATGGGACCAACAGTAAGGATTAAAGGAACACCAGAGCAAAACAAGAACTTCCAAAATGGTTATCACTATGTCATCTTTGCGCCCCTCACATCAGAACCGGTAGCCCAGCCTGCAGCTTTATTGCTCTAGGGGCTCTATCTAGCCAGTTAGTCAATCACCTGGCTGCAAACCCCAGCTGGCCAAACCACACTCCCCCGCCCTCCCGCTCCTCCCCTCCCCCGCCTCTCCCCTTTCGGAGGGGAGATGTCAAGGGAGTGCGCAGGCGCGCAGCATTGCTCTCCTTTCTACTTCTTCCAATTATTAGGCCTAAATCCGGTACCACCCTGAAGGCGGGGCTGGGTCCCAGTCTGGCCAATGGCACCCCGGGTCAGAGTTGAGGGGTGGGAGGTGTCTGCCAGCCGGTAGTGCAGGATTGTTCTATCGTGAGTGTTGGGTAACCTTGTGGTCATGGAGACAGTATTGGCGGAGGGGCTTGATGAGGAGGAGGAGCTGGTGAGAAGGCATCGCAAAGAGAAAAAGGAGTTGCAAGGTGAGGGGCAAGCGGGAACCTAAAAGTCGCCGGACCCAGGGGAGGGCGCTTAGCAGGCCTGTTCTGGGGAATCTTGAGGGGCTTCTCATCAGCATCGTCCTAGACTTCCCTGAAGTAGCAAGTGGCCTCTTCCCTCTCGCCTCCCCTTCCCCGGCGGTCCCTTAATCTCCTAAATCTTAAATGGCTTCCTCTTCTCAAGTGCGCCGCGTTCTCCCGACCCTGCGCCGCTGCTCGAGTGCTGGTGCCTGAGAACACTTGCAAGCCAGCGTGCGCACCCAGACTGTTCCGCCTTACCTCCCCGGTCTCCCTTTCTTAGTCCTGCCCCAGTTACCGACACTTAACCATAATAAGTACTTTTAAAAATACGTTACCTCAATTTTGAGGACTCAGAAGGGATACTTGAAAGATTTAAAGACTTCAGTCATTTTTTTTTTCCTTTCCACAGTAAACTCACGGTTGTGTTTATGAGATTTTTGGGGGATGGGGAGGGGAGTCTCAGCTTCATCTGGGCTCTTCTCTGTAATTGTCTGATAATGTAATTACTCTTTTTCTTAATCTTTATATACCGTGTTCCCTTACCCATCCCTTTATTGTTCCTATTTCTCATTTCCTCTTAACACGTGGGTTTGTGAGTTAAAATTTTTGGTGGCTTTTCAGCCAAAATTCAAGGTATGAAGCATGCTGTTCCCAAGAATGACAAAAAGAGGAGGAAGCAACTCACTGATGATGTTGCTAAGTTGGAAGCAGAAATGGAAAAGAAACAGAGAGAGGAACTGGAGCAATTGAAGCTGACTTCTGAGCAGAGTAAAGTATGTGAAATAATGTTTCTCTTTGCCTATAATATTGTATTTGAAAGCAATTGTCCAATTCTGTTAAACCGTTTACTATATGAAATCATAAAATTGGAGGAAAATGAAGTCAATCGTGCTCATGTGTCACCTTTTGTGACCAGGTTTACATGGTATTGTGTTTGTTTAAGGGAGGTCAGCAAAGAAGGTACACTTTAACTATTTACTTGCCCCAAAGATGAACAGATTGATAAAAGTAGACTAGAGGAAGTTTCACCAAATGAAAGTTGAAAAAACAGACTTTTAGTCCCAGAACTGCCATTAATATAATTGTAACATGGGTAAAATTATTTAAACTTCCTGAGCATAAATTTCTCTATGTATAATATGATACAAATACTTTTGCTGTTTAAGGAAAGGTTTTGTGAGAATCAAATGGAACAATGAATGTAAAATCATTTTTAAGTTACAAAAGTGTTTTATGAACAAATTGTAATCAATGAAAATTTACTGATGTTTCTTGGGTAAATTGGAGCATAGTGTCATAATTTTAACTTATTTTATCATTGTAGTTAATATGTATTGTGTGCCAAGCACTATGTTTAACATATTACATGCATTATTTCATATAATTCTCATAGTAACACACTATGAGGTGTTACCTATAAAGTAAATGTAGGTAATCCCATTTTTTCAAGTGGGAAACAGACTCTGAGACATTAAGAACATTGTCCTGAATTCATAGCATGTATTAAGTGTCAAAGCCAGAGCTGTCTTAACTCCAGGATGTGAATATTTAATTCTCTTATAACTTTGTATAATGTGGTAGTTTATTGCTTGAGTTTTGGATCCATACCCTCATTTCAGAATCCTCATTTCATTTTGGTAGCTAGAAAAGTTCTTATGTGTATGCAAATTATTTTATTTTATTTGGTTCATTTTTAGTAAGCTGTTGGCAGGGAAAGCAGCTTTTCTGTACTGATTTACAATGGTTGTTATTTTCTTTGACTTTATTAGCCAGTCGTCAAGATCCTGGCCTTCTGTTGCCTTAACATATTTTATTTCCAAGTTACAAGGCTTGATGCTTCAGGTGTTTAATTGCATTCTCACAATCATGGTATTCCTGATTGTCTCCCATGTTTTCTATTAGTAAGATAGTTTTGTTTGCTCTCTCGGGCCTTTCAGTTTTGAGATTTCTTTTCTAGGTTTCCAAGGGGAAACTTTGATTCTTATGAGATATATTGTCTAACTGCTAAAATACAACTCCCATTCTGCTTTGAACTATTGTCTTTTTCATTAGCTTAAATTTGTTTTTTTTTCTGAACATCCCCTGAATTCTTATGTCATTGCTTTCTCTTTTTTCTCAGATACTTCTCTTATCTTGCCTATTGGCAGTATGGCAGTTTGTAAATTTTAACAGATTCCTTTGAAAAATACAGGAATGCTAATTTTACTAAAGTTTATAAGCACTCTTTGAAATCTTAATCTGATTTTGATATTTTGATCATTTGAGCCATAGCCTTGAAGACTGCTGACTGAGTCTATTATTAGAGGTCTCAGTCTGTTTTATGTATGTGTCATACTAAAAAATAGTTTATGTTTGCAGTAATAAAATACTAGTTTCTAATCCTGATAGCTACAAGCCTAGCCTAGCATCTTTTTTTTTCCAGCAAACATATAATCCTCATTTAATGATTAAGATTGGTTGTGATATCTTAATGATATCACATTAAGTTAAATTTTACCTATACTTATCAGTTTGTAGATGGGAAAGGATAGAAAAATCTCAACTTGTTACTACGGTCCAGAAGCAGTGCTCATCAGGTTCTGGCTAATTGTGTTGGAGAAAGAACTCTGCTGCCACATTTAGAGAATGGAAGGGTGAAGTGCTGAATGAATTGTCATTTAATAGAAATGTTTAGATTAATGGAGTAGGCATACTAAGAAGGAAGGAAAGTTTGCAGGGATGAGCACTATCTTTGAAGAGCTATAAGTAAACTTCTTGGGAATCTGATAAATTCTCCCTTACAAATAGAGAAAAGAGACAAAACCATACTATCTAATATTTATCTAGTGCTGTTACTCGAATTGGAATTGTGGGATTACATGTTTGTGATTTTCAATAATAATGTAATAATCTAATACTTTGAATAATAATGAAGTATATTCCTTAACTAGTTAATGCTTTCTGTTTTCTTCAGATAGATTCTGTTGCTGTTAACATTTCAAACTTGGTTCTTGAGAATCAGCTGCCTCGGATATCAAAAGCACAAAAGAGACGGGTATGAAAGTCATGTCACCAAGTATTTAAGTTAGTGCCGTGTGCTCAGTACTATCTTAGATGTTATGTGAGACGGAGTAGAAAAAAAAATTGATAGGCCTGAACAAACATTGTCAAAGGACCTGAACTAACATTTATGAAGCACTTGCAATGTGCCAGATACTAGGCTCGGCTTACATATTATATGAAATCTCATTTAGTCCTGACAATAATCCTATGAAGTAGGATTTTTTATCCCCATTTCATTTTTTATTTAATTTTATTTAAGACAGGGAATACTTTATTCAAACCCATCAGAGAAATGGACAGGTTGGGTCTGTAACAAAGTGTCATGTTTTAAAGCATAGGCCAGTAATTGCATATGAGAGTATACACTGCTACGTACAAATTAACTGATCAGACCACAGCTTTTTAATGTTTAAAACAGAATAAGCTTCCCTGTAAAAGCAGTACCTTTGTGGCATATTAACTTTGGTATTCCTCTCCTCCTTCCTCACCCTCTCCTTCAACAGAATCCACACCAACCACTTCATAATCTTTCTCAAGGTCAGCCATGTCCTCACGGGCCTTAGAAAACTCTACTTCTTCCATGCCCTCACCCATGTACCAGTGAACAAAGGCACGCTTGGCATACATCAGGTCAAACTTGTGGTCCAGGTGCGCCCAGGCCTCAGCAATAGCTGTGGTGTTGCTCAGCATGCACACAGCTTGCTGTACTTTGGCCAGGTCTCCACCAGGTACCACAGTGGGAGGCTGGTAATTCATGCCAACTTTGAAGCCAGTGGAGCACCAGTCCACAAACTGGATGCTATGCTTGGTCTTGATGGTGGCAATGGTGGCATTGGCATCTTTGGGAACCATGTAACCACGGTATAATAGGCAGCACGCCATGTATTTACCATGGTGAGGGTCACATTTCACCATCTGGTTGGCTGGCTCAAAGCATGCATTGGTGATCTCTGTTACAGAAAGCTGCTCCTGGTAGGCTTTCTCAGCAGATATGATAGAGGCATATGTGGCCAGAGGGAAGTGGATGCAGGGATGGATAGGGCATCCAAGTTGTTCTGAAATTCGGTCAGGTCAACATTCAGGGCTCCATGAAATCTGAGGATAGCAGTGATGGAGGACACAATTTGACCTATTAGCCTGTTCAGGTTAATATAGGTTGGGCACTCAATATTGAGGTTTCTACGACAGATGTCATAGATGGCCTCATTGTTAACCATGAGGGCACAATCAGAGTGCTCCAGGGTGGTGTGGGTGGTGAGGATAGAATTATAGGGCTCAGCTACAGCTGTGGAAACCTGGGGGGCTGCGTAAATGGAGAACACCAGCTTGGATTTCTTGCCATAATCGACAGAGACGTTTCATCAGCAGGGCGGTGAACCCAGAGCCAGTTCCCCCGCCAAAGCTGTGGAAAACCAGAACGCCCTGAAGACCTGTGCACTGGTTGGCCAGTTTCTGAATTTGGTCCAAGACAAGTTCAATAATCTCCTTGGTGTAGTGCCCCGGGCATAGTCATTAGCAGCATCTCCTTGCCTGTGATGAGCTTCTCGGGGTGGAAGAGCTGGCGGTAGGTGCCAGCGCGAACTTCGTCAGTGGGTCCCAGGTCTATAAACACTGCCCTAGGCACATGCTTGCCAGCGCCTGTCTCACTGAAGAAGGTGTTGAAGGAGCCATCTCCTCCTCCAGTGGTCTTGTCACTTGGCATCTGGCCATCGGGCTGGATGCCATGTTCCAGGCAGTAGAGCCCCCAGCAGGCATTGCCGATCTGGACACCAGCCTGGCCAATGTGGATGGAGATGCGCTCACGCATGGTTGCTGCTTTGCGGCTGCCGGGTGGATGGCTGAGAGGAACAGGTTGCTTCTTCCAGTGCAACTCTTAGGCGGTCGATGTAAGAGAACCTATCTTATCCCCATTTTACAGAGAAGAAAATAGGCCTAAGGCACTATAAAATAGCATGTTCAGTTTTCCGCTCTCATAGAAGGATGGGGCTAGGAAATGGGTATGCAAAGGATATTTTTTACAAATATACAGGGTGGCCCATAAGTCACTTTCTCCTTTAAAAATTGAATAAAAGTTTTATTTGTTAATTTATTGTTTTTAATAATGTTAAGTACAAAAATGGGATTTTTTTTTAGCTATTTGTGAGAAAATGATGTCACATAAATAACCTCCATTGGAAATAACACATACATGCTTTCTGAGTTGAAACAATGGAATGCTGATTTTCAAAATAAAACTTGACAATTTTTACACATTGCTCCATTGTGTATTTTTCCATAATAAATTTCCAAGGAACAAACTTTAAAATCTGAAACAAAATTAAAAAAAATTTAATGACAAGCACAATTATTAAACTTTTAAATGGGAAAGTGACTTAGGGGCCACCCTGTGTTATCCCAGACTTAATAATTCAGAACCTTCAGAGAGTGGGCCAAGGTGATTCTGATGCACAACTTTGGTTAAAAACTATAGTAGTAAGTGGTGAAACAAGAATTTGAACCTAGAAGTTGAGCAAGATATATAGCTGTATGCAATTCTCAGAGACTTATGTAGATAACCTATGTAATGGTTAATTATGATGAAAATTCAGAGAAGTATTTTGTTTTTTTTTATGATCGGAGTAGTGTTGAAAGAAATTTCAAACCTAAAGAAAGTTTTAAAGAATTTATTTTGAGCCAAGGGTTTGGGGCTAGTGTCGGAAGCAAAAAAAAATCAAAGTGTTGAGGTAATGCTCCTGGGAATAACAGTTTTGCAGTTTATACATTATAATGAAAGGAGAAGACGTAAGAAAGGTTATATGAAATCAATTGGCAGATTAAGGAGATGGGAGAAAGTAAAGCAGAAAATCTCTAGGATTGGATAGAACGTAAAATGGAGAGACACATGTTTCTTTTACAGTGGTGGGTGCAGGATAGTTAACATTTAACATAGTTTACAGAGGTATGGGGTAAAAGATAAAAATGAGGAATGTTGGGGTGGTCTCGCCCCATACCGGGGTGTTTATCTTTAGAGGTCTAGAGATCAATTTTGAGTATATTATTCTAGATGCACAAGAACAGTGGATGAGGCTTACTCAAGGTAGAGATTAATCTATCATATAGGCCTTAGGACATGAGTTCCCACCATAACTCGCTCAGTTAGGAATTTCTTTTTAAGATGAAAATGCCGTATGTAGTTATTTTCAGTTTTTGAGTGTCAGGCTTGCCTACATAGCCCCTTTTAGTTTATAGAAGGAAAAGTTAATTGGGCTAAGTGTTAAATACTGAGTTGGAATTTTAAGAAAATACAGTTTTTTAGATAGGATATTTGAAATAGGAGAAATATTATAGACAAAAATATGGGAATGAAAATGTGCATTGTCAAAGAACTATAAGGAAACTAACTTATTGGAATTAGTGAGTTTATGATATGAAAATTATGGGAATGGTATTAAATAGGTAAGGCTTTTTTTCACTTTGAAAAAAAGAAAAAGGATGTTTAAATCCAATCTTTTTAGTTCCAAATATCGTTTTAATAACATTTGATGTTTTCTAGGATTTAAAAGCTTATTTCTAAGCTAGCTTTGAATCTTACAATTTAGTATATCATTTAATAGAGCATGGACTTTGGCCTCAGACAGATGGGGTTTTAATCCCACTTAATGTGACTTTAGCTAAGATTCTTAATGTTTTAAAGCCTTGTTTTCACATGTATAAATGGGGGAAAATAATACCTACTTCTTAGAGTTATTGTGAATATTAAATAATATACTGTTTCCAAAGCTCTAATACAAGCAAGGCCTGGAGAACTACTGGGTCAGCAAGTGATGGTATTGTTTACCATATTAACGACTGCATAATATACCTCTTAAAAAAGTTCAACCTAAAACCAGCATCTTTTTTGTTTATTCGGAAGTTGATTTAAGTTCAAATTATCAAACATTTTTCACATTTAGGTATAATTTTATTCTTGAGTAAATATGATTGAATTTCATAGAATTGTGAAATTTAGATTTCACAGTATCTTGAAAATTATCTAGTTCAGCTCTCTACTTATGCTGTGTATGCTTTTTGTGATAGCCTTATAATTGTCATCTAGGTTCTATAGATCAAAAACGAAGGGCAGAATTTTTGGTTGGCATTAGCATAACACAATATTGGGATTCCCTCTACTTAGTAATTGTTTCATTTTAGAGTAGCCTGTTTAATTCTGGGAAACATGAGGATACAACTCCTTCAGGTCTTTATCAAAACTTTCTCACCCCACCCAGACCCTTAGGCAACAAAACAAACAAAAGCAAATTGAAACTTCCTTACCTTTCTCAAATATTTTGTAGTTTTTCTCCTAAAATACTGCATAGCTGAAATGTATAGCTTTTTCAGCTATACCCTTGACACAAGTTATCTTTTGTACAATAGTTAGCTTCTTTAGCACTTGGCAGAGAAAATACCTTAGAAGTAATGCCCAGAGTTTCTTTTGCTTTCTTATTAGTAGGATTGTGAAACAGACAACATAAAAGTTTATAATACATAAGAAAATGGAACCTGAAAACAGGGTAGGTAACTGGGTATTAGACTTATTCCAAATCTTTTTTTTTTTTTTTTTGGCCAAAAACATCAAGGATTGAAAAACCAGTTAACTAATGGTGTTTATCTTTGCGAGAGATACGACTCTGGTAGAAAAACATGATAAAACTTTATGAAGATTTATTATTGGAATGTTATAGAGCAAATCTCTTTATTTTTAATCTAGAAAAGCATAAGGAGTATTTAATTCAAAGAACTTAAATAAAAGAACTGGGTTCCATTAATATGAAATTTGAGAGCTGAAATTGAGATGTAGTTCAATTTCTTTTTTCTACAAATGAGAAAACTGAGGCCCAGGTTATCTCATCTCAATGGCATGCTGAAAGTTTGATACAAACCCAGGACTAGTAAGTACCCAGTTGTTAAGGTCCCTCTTCAGATTTTTTTTGCTGTATTACTATATTAACATGATTCTAGTTTTACTGACAATATATTTATGAGTTACATACTATTTTTATCTTTTATACGTTTTCTTTAGACTTTACTGGTGCCATTCTGTCTCTATGTAGTATTAGCGCTATGGAAACCAAAGTGCCCTAGTGCCATTAGGAAACTGTTAGATTGTCGGAAAAGTCATGATGTATTTTTTTGTTGCAAAAATCATCATGACTTTTCCGACAACCCAATATATTGTTGACGTAAGAAATGTTCAGATCTGTAGAGGATTTTTATAAGAATTTATTTGAGCTAAATTGAGGACATATGCCAGGGAACAAGATCTCAAATGCTTCAGAGAATAACACTTTGCAGTTTCTGTCACGCATTTGAAATTAAGGAGGGAAGGAACATGAAGAAAACTTACATGAAGGTGGGAGAAAGCAAGGCAGGGAATCAGGATTACAGGATAGTAGGATTATTTGCTCTCTTGAAGGTGGTCATTGCATTAAAAAGAGGGGTCTCAAAGGGAGTATTTCAAAGGTGTGTTAACCTAGATGCACAGAAACAATGGATAAGTCTTTTCCTAAAGCTGTTTTATGCTTGGGGCTTGACTGCTCACAAGACCTGCCCAGTAAGGAACTTAATGATCAGATCACTCTATGAGGTTATGCTCCATAGAACCCCTTTTTCGTTTACAATACATTGCTAGGCAAAGAATCCAGTGGCTATTCCACCTGTGCCCTGGAAAGGAAATTGCTTTGTAATATTGAAGCAGAGTATAAGGAGAAAAAAACGAAGTGATTAGATTAGTACTTTAGAGGCTTCGCAATGGCTTTGCAGGTAATATAAAGTGCCACTCTTCCAGTAACTAGTACATGACATCATCAAGTCCAGCTCCTGTCTGCTCCAACTTTTATTCTGATTCAGGTGTCTGAATACAAGCAGCTCTGTGGTGTTGTCTTTGGCCCATGCTGTGCTCTACCCAGCTGTGTTGCCTTTAGAAATCTTTCTGATAAGGGGTTTTGGATTAGATGATATCTAACATACTTATTTTCCCTCTCCCCTTTCAAAATGTTTTTTAGTCTTTTATAAAGTAACAGTATCACCCTATGTTTTAAGATTTTATGCTGCTGTGATCCACAGTTGTAGGTATTCCGCGAGAGAAATTTGTGCATGTTACTTCTGGAATAGTTGGATTCGGAGATAAAACTTAAATAGGCTTATGTTTTATTAGGGAGATAATAGTTTTTGGTTCAGGTAATTTAGTGGTCACTTTAGGTTCATTGAGCATGGCACTTAACAGGCATGTCGGACAGTATGTGGCATTAAATTAAATTGAAATTTGCCTTTCCATTCGCTTCTTCTGCCCCAAGGAGTTAGAGAGAAACACATGAAAATCTTTACCTTTTCCTAGGTTTACCCTGTAATTTGCTACCAATATAAAGATTGTATAATTTAGTTTAATTATTTTTATTCTCTTAAGTTCAAAAAGCATTCCCTCCCCCCCTTTTATTTATTTAGTTTTTCCTTTTTTTTTTTTTTTAAGCTGAGCAACAGCTCAGCTCAAGCCAGGAATCGAACCTCTGTTGCTCAGAACTCACACTCTTGAGCGAGCTCTTAACCAACTGAGCCACTCGGCTGGTCCACCCTCCCCCCCTTTTATATAAGTAAAACATACAGTGGAAAATTAGAAAGATGCAGAAAAGTACAATGTACACACACAGCCAAATAAAATTTATTTTGTAATCCTACCATTGAGAGCAAAGTACTATAAATATTTGTGTATGTTCTTATAGTGTCTTTTTTTTAAACTATGTATGTGTAGACTTAATGTATATTAACTACAGATACTCCTCAATTTAGGATGGGGTTAAGTTCTGATAAACCAACCCATCATAAGTTGCAAATAACATTTATGTTGAAAATGCGGTTAATTCACTGAACCTGTTGAACATCATAGCTTAGCCTAACCTACCTGAAACGTGCTCAGAACACTTAAATTCGCCTACAGTTGGGCAAAATCATCTAACACAGTGAATACACTGTAGAATATCAGTTGTTTACCTTTGGGATCACATGGCTGACTGGGAGCTGTGGCTCACGGCCACTACCCAGCATCATGAGAGCTGTATCTTACTGCATATTGCTAGTCTGAGAAAAGATCAAACTACAAAATTCGAAGTCAGGTTTCCATTGAATGTACGATGTGTATGTTTTCACGCTATTGTAAAGTCGAAAAATTATACCATCATTAAGTTGGGGACCATATTTATGTACCTGTCTTCTTTGCCCCCAACCTCATCTCTTGACACTTCTCTGGTACTGTATTCATCTGTCAAACAGTGCTTCTGGCTTTTGATCCTTGCTAGTCCAACTGTCAGGATTTTTTCTCTTCTCCAACCTTTTCACTCTACCTCCTATCCATCCTTCATGTCACAAATCTCTTATAGACCTCTCCCCACCCCATCTTTGCATATGTTTTATGAGAAGATTTCTTACATTTGAATAAGGAAAGCAAGTTGCAAAATGTAATGTATACTATTTTTTTAAAAAACTTCTTTTTATACATTTTCTATAAGTGCATCTATATTTATTAAAATGCATAGGAAAAAAATCCAGAAGGATATACAGCAGACCTCCAGAGCAGGCACTGGTCCTTAAGGAGAATTTTATCTATTTGTAATATTTTAATTTTTATGAAGAATATTTTTCTCTGTTGCTTTAATAAAATGTGTAAGTTTGTGTTTACACGTACAGTTTTTTAAAGCCGGGTAAATAGACTTCCTATATCCCTCTAAAGTCTTTAGCATGTTAATGCCTCACTGGTTGAGTGGTAAGTTAAAAAGCTTTCTTTAGCCTGGAATTAAATATGACAATAATGTGCTTTAAGGCCTAGGACAAATCAGTCTTAATACAGTACATTGAATTCAGTAAGTGAAACTTAGAAACTTGGCAGATAGTTTTTAAATTTTTTCAAAGAAAAATTTGAGCACTTTTGTCTAGATACAGAGCTAGGTGCTGGGTACATACAGATGAGAAAGATAGTTTGCCTCTAAACAAGTTCACAGTACAGAAAATTCTACAAGTGATGAGATCATCAAGGGAGAATGCTTGTGGGAGAAGAGAGAAAAATGGCAACAATGTTTTGAGGATCTTACATTTCTGTCTCTTTAATAAATGTAAATTAGTCCTAATTATTATGAATTAACTTTCCTACATTCTCTTAGGACAAAAAAGCCGCATTAGAAAAGAAGCGGAAAGAAAGGATAGCTGAAGCTGAAATTGAGAACTTATCTGGAGCTAGACATGTAGAAAGTGAAAAACTTGCTGAAATACTGGCAGCTAGACAGTTGGAAATTAAACAGATTCCATCTGATGGCCACTGTATGTATAGAGCCATTGAAGATCAACTGAAAGAACAGGAATGCCCTCTGACTGTGGCTGCCTTAAGAAGTCAGACTGCTGAATATATGCAAAGCCATGTGGAAGAATTTCTACCATTTTTAACAAACCCTAATACAGGAGATATGTATACGCCAGGTAATTTATTTTTCTTTACTATGCCCCGTTGCAGTTGTGGTTGTTATTGTTAAGTAAAGTGCTTCCTGGGACTGAGAATAAAAAACTTGATAGTCCTTAGGGGGAAAAAGATCTCAAAATTTAGGCAGAATTATTTTCCATAATTTTAATAGCTACTAGTACATTTAGCTTCATTAAAATCTTTTAAGTACTCAACCATTTTGTAGTTAAAATATGTTATTTTATATAAGATACTGATGCAAATAAGGTGAATGCTTCCAAAATAACAAGGCGAGTCTTTATCTGATGCTGTCTCTGGGAAAGGAGTTTCAACTCATTTGTACTTTTCCCCTGATACTTTTTTCACATTTCGTATGGTCTTATAGGGGACCTGATTTTATAGAGGCCACATTGTTATTTTCCCTGAGGGAGGGAAGCAGAAATGTATTGCTTTGCTCTTGGATGGTAAGGTGGTAGAAAATTGGAGTGAGTTAAGTTTGGATCTCGGAATTGGATTAAATTCTGGACAGTTCAGGTAAAGAAGGAGAAAATTCATATCTTGACCAGTTTCATCAGAAATGTGGGAGCAATAAAAAGAATCTTACAACACGAGTTATGAAAATTATTAAGTGCTATATTTTGTTTATTCTCTACAGAAGAGTTTGCAAAGTACTGTGATGATATTATAAACACAGTTTCATGGGGAGGTCAGCTTGAGGTAAGTTTGTAATTATTCATAGTGATTGTGGATTGTTAAATTATTTCTAAATCTCATTTTGTAGTTTTCAGATGATTCCAATTTCTCTTTGAAGATTCCTTTTCTTTGTATATTTGCTGGTTTTTTACTGACAAAGCATTGAAGTAGGGGGTTAACATTCTTAGGCCTTTAGGTATGCACCTTCAGGAAGTGAAGCACTATTTCATTTTAAATAGCCCAGGATTTGATCTGTGGGCTGGTGAGGATAGTGTTGGATCTGTGTGTTTCCATTTGTGATGCTGGTACTGGCAATATATTTGTTATTTTTTTTGGACTTATGAAGGTTAAGATTTTACTCAAGCACAGTTAATATTTACCTTAGTAGCTCAGCTGATGAAAGTCAGTATTGGACAAGTAACATTCAATTACATGAGAAATAGAAAACAATATTTTTATGTTCAATTACAGATCAAATCTACCACACACATCTTTCAGAATTGTGTCTTGAATTCCTAGTTGATAATGACTGACTGACTTGAAAGCAGTATTGGTGCATTAAAATTCACATATAAGAAAACTGTTTTGTCACTTGTAGGGAATTATTCAGCATTTTTTTTAGCTCTAATTATTTGATGTGCTTTGTTAACTTTGTTTCATTAAAATAAAATAAACAAAACACTTAGGAGGTCCAAGTGGTGATGAGGCAGCTTAGTTATTAGAAATTCAGGAGATAAGAGGGAAAGTCTTGGGTTTGGGTCCTGGCTTTTCCTTTCACTTCTCAGTTTTGTGACCTTGCCTCCCGCAAGGAGGCAACCTCCTGAGCTCGAGTTTCCTAATTATAGAATGAGAATAATAAAAACCCTGTGTGTACTGGGTAGGTCATTTGTGGACACTAAGGCAGAGAGTATATGCATAGAAGTTTGTAAGCTAAAGTGTCAGATGGATGAATCTAACAATATTAATATTGTGTAGTGATTAGTCATCTTGAATAGTTTGTGGCTCTGAATATTTCATTTTAAGAACTATGTTGTTTGAAGGTATGACATGAATGCTTTTTCAAAATTTTTCTGAGCAGTGCTATATTTGTACCTCTTCTGAGTCACTGGAGGGAACTGTGTCCATTCGTTTTGTGTGCCTCTCCTGGGTCTCTGAAACTCAGGAAGTTTTCATAGTAGCTTTGTGACTACATTTGGAGTAAAGATGCTTGAACTTTGTTATAAGGATCACAAGTTAATATGAGTACTAGAGACCTAAGTGACTTTTTAAGTTGAAAAAAAACTTTTAAAAATCCTTTGAAGGACATTTCTCATAAATTGTTCATCTTTGAATCCATATGAAATAAGAGTTGCTCTTTTCACAATGGAGTCAATTTAAATTATTAAAGAGAATATCTTCATATGATTTCTGAAGACTTAGAAGGAATGTTAAGATTTCCAGAGTTTCCTTTGCACCCTCCATTCCAGGCTAGCTTTTAAAAAAATGTTATTTTAGGTATGAGAAAAAAGTGCCTCAAAGGTATATTTTTATGAGATAAAGTATAGGATTAAATTTGCCACCACAAAGCATAGAGCCTTTTTCATATTCCTGAAGTAATTCTCACTTTCGTTTAAAACTTCCTAAAAGGACCATGCTATAGACAGAATGATCTTCCAATGGGGTAGATACATAGATCTGGGCACTATGATTAAAGATTGTTAAATGATTCATTTGTTTATGAACTTCCTCAGTTTAGTTGCACGTCGTTTTATTTTCTTGTGCTTGGCTTTAGGCAGCCGTCTTAACCTTTCTCTGCCTCAGATTCTAGATCTTTAAAATAAATATAACAGTAGTACCTATCCCATAAGGTTATGTGAGGATTGAATGCATTAATAACTATTATTCATCTGGCTTTAAGCTCTAATTTTATGTTGTAGGGTATGAAAGTACTTAAACTTGTATGTTAATCAGATGGAAATTCCACGAAAGCATAGTGCAATTCATATGCATATCTCATTCTCTTTGTGCCTTGAAAATTAGAGTAGTAGCTGTCAACACTAGTTGTACATTAGAATCATCTGAAAAGCTTTTTTTTTAAAAAAAGAAAAACCTCCTGTTCTGCCCTGCTCCCTCTCTTTCTCCCTCTCCCTCCAAAATTGTAATTGATTTGGTCTGATGCCTGAACAGTGGTTTTTAAAAAACATTTTATTATGGAAATTTTCATTTATATTCAAAAGTAGAGACTAGTATAATGAACGCAATACCTATCCCCTCACTTTATTAACTATTGATATTTCTAAGAAGTTGTTTAGCCAGGGCTTGAAATTTCTGCATTGGATTTAATAAATATTTATTTGTTAATTCAACAAATATGTATTAAGTGCCTACTGTGTGCCAGGCTCTCAGTGTACAGTGAAGAATAGAGCTCATCTCTGCTCTGATTGCCCTGTTCATGCATGCGTATCTTAGTAGTTTATGATTTCAATAAATTTATATTTTTTATTTTTTTTAATAATGCATTTTCTTTCCTATAGCTAAGAGCCCTGTCTCATATTTTACAAACACCAATAGAGATAATACAGGCAGATTCTCCTCCTATTGTAGTTGGCGAAGAATATCCCAAAAAACCATTAATACTTGTGTAAGTACCTAGAAATGTCTACTGTTATATTTTCATAATTAAGACAAAAAGGATTAAAAAGGATTATAAAAAGATTTTAGATTGTGTTGTTGATTAATAAAAAAACTATTGTCAGTGGAACTAATTATGCTTATTTTATGTTAAAGGCAATTATAGAAGTAGTAGAAAGCATTGTCAAAATATGTGACTTAGATACTTGTTTAAATCTCTAGTGATTTATTCTTGCATATGTTAAGAATAAAGTCATTTCTAAAGGTTAGAAATTTTAGGATTAGTTTGCATATTGACATTAATAATTCTAAAAGTTTCAACAAGTGAAAAGGCTGAAATATATTCATATTGCTTGATTATTCCTTAGAGATTTTGTTCTTTATATTGTAAAAGTATTTTATGTGATTGAGAAATCTCTGAAGCACAGCATGGAGATTTTGCGACTGGCTTTAGTGTTTATTTCTTAAACCTATTAAGGTGGTCATTAATGGCTTGGACTTAGGTAAAAATTTAAGCTTACTGAGCACTCAGTATTTTAATCTTTTTTTCCCTAAGTGTTTGTGTTTTACTTAAACTCAATAAACAGGGTTACAAATCATACTGACTGCTGTTGCTTTTCACATGGTGTTGAACTTTTAAGTAGTATGCTTATGTAGTTTATTGAATGATACCTCTGTGGAGTGATTCATTCAGAGTTCTTGGTTTTATATACATAATAAATATTTATAAATATTCATCAAAACTACTCATTTCTTTTTTTTTATTTCAGATATATGAGACATGCATATGGTTTAGGAGAACATTACAATTCTGTTACGTGGTTGGTGAACAGAGCTACTGAAAATTGCAGCTAGTTTGTAAAATGTTGCACAACTATGTTTTAGTACAGAATGCTGATATGAGTATTCAAACCAAGTGCTAGATTGTTCTAAATGTTACTGAAAAACACAGCTATCTTAAATCAGGTTTTATGGCAAAGCTGCTAATAGGTTTTTTAAAAATGTGTCAGAAATAAACTTTAACCAGTGTTCCCTAAGTGATATTTTAAAAACACAAGTCCATTGTGGAGAACATCATTTATAGACCAAGATGCAACCTTATTTGCGGATGTTTTTATTAATATAGGATCTCGAATATTCTGTTGAAATAAATCTTAAGTGTTTTACTAAAAGCTGTCAGTGCTATTTCAGTGTAATTTTTCTTGAAGAAATGACTCAATCTCTTTGTCATTGCAGTAATGTGATGGTGATAGCAAATTTAATGCTTATGAATGAACTTGACTGCAGTAACTTTGGTATTGATGGAATTAATTCTGCGAAGTTTTTTAAAAATAACCCCATCAAAGTGCAGCTAAGAAGCTTGCTTTAATGATTAAGAATTTAAAAATATTTTTTCATATGGGAATCAGTTGTTAAGTTTTAAGAAATGAGACAAATTCAAAGGTAAATAGATGATGTTCCCTGTCAGATTTAAACCTCTAAAGAATTAACAATTAGCCTTTTATTTGTGTGTAACTTAAAAAGACCCAACAGATTACTGTCTAATTCATTTGCTGCTACTAGTTGTTTCTTAAACTTCAGAATGGGATTAGTACTATCATTTCTTGATTACCTTCATAGCTACAAATTTTTATATTCTTTGTTGTGTTTTCTTTATCACTACTTAGCTGCTTTGCTTCCCTTGCAGCTTTTTCCACCAAGAAAGAGTTTGTGGCCTCTCTTATTCTTTAACTTGTACAAGTTGAAGGAGTAGCAATGCAAAAAGATCCATGGCCAAATTTACTTCCAATTCTTCCTATTTCCAATGTGTCTTACAAGATCTTTCTCTCTTTGTGTCTGTCATTCTCTAGGATTAAAAGAAAACCTTTATTCTTATTTTGTTAGCCTTATTAATGTCACCTTTCCTTAACTCAAATATCTGAGAATTTTTGTATTACATGTGTGGATCAAGTTGAAAGCCACTCTTTGGGAGTCAAGACTGTATAGTGAAATCAGTGTACAGTACTTTTTGGTGTGAATGATTTATCTAACTCATATTTCAGGTTTCACACAACAGTATTTTTTCTAAGAAGATAGTATATATGGATATACAAACGTGTCTGATAATTTATATGTAAGGGAGTATTATGAAAAACGAGATATTTTTGGTTGGATCTATTTTCCCCCAGTTAGACGTAACTAATAACATTTAGCATGAAGTTTACAATATATGAATTTTTGCTCCATGAATGCAACTGATTTTTGCAATTAAATATCAAGTTTATAATACTAAAAATGGGGTGTCAATCTCACGTGCCTAGCAGATGACAATGTGGGAAGCTGGTCAACTACAGCAAGTAAGTCCTACGTGAAGGTTTTCCAGTTCATTCTGCCTGTTAAAATATACTCTGAAGGTTGCCTGTTTTGTAAGCCGTGATCTGAGTTCAAGAGATTAAAAACCATTCTGCCTGTCAGAATGTCTTCTGAAGGTTGCTTGTTTTGTAAGCTGTGATCTGAGTTTTCTTCGGGGTTTGAAATTTATAAAATAATGAAATTATAAAATACTGAACATCATGGCTTTATTTTTAAGTAATCCATTACTTTAAAATGAAAAGATAAGCATTAATAAAATCAGATATCATGAAACCTAGTTATAAATTCCATTTATATTTAAAGTATTCTAAAATAACTTATTGGTAGCTATTTTTTTCCTAACAAGATGAATAGAGTTTTCTTGATTATAGGTTTATTTTTTATTTTTATTATTTTTTATTTTTAAAGGGCCAGTATGGTTATGAACAAGATTTATATGGTTAGCTTCTGTTCTTTCATAAAACTTCAGATAAAAATCATTTTAGCTATAACCTAAAATTGAAGTCTTTAAAAAATGGCAGATGTTAATTTTAAAGCAGATATACAATTTAGTTTGCTGTATGATGGTAATCTAATGGAAGCTTCAAAAGATTTCTTTTTTCCTAACTTGAAAGTATGTTAAGAGTTCTAGAATATGTGTTAAGTCAAGAATTTTATCCACTTAAATATGTTTACAACTTGTATAAAGCAAAAAAGAGTGTGTATAACTATAGTGAACAATATAGTTTTGTTCATATCTGTTTGCCAAAAGAAGAATAAAATGAATTAAATAAACATTTGTTCAAATTGTTATTCTTTAACAATTTTAGAATATAGAAATAGAGGAGAACTCATTGCATTTTAGAATTTTATCTAGCTTTTATTTTGTCCTCACATATAGTTGAAAATAATAAAATAACAGATACTTACATTTAAAAGATTTGGAATAAGTATATGAACATAGCATTGTACCCTAAACAGAATAGAGGGAGATAATAAAATAATAGTCATTCAAGGCATGACTTTTAGAAATCAGGTTGAAGTTTAGAACCTTTTAGAATAATTAAGGTTTATTTAGGATCAGTGAATTAAAAGAATATTCTCAGACTGGTGGGTGTTAAAGGAGAAAAGAAAAACAAAAACATTTGTGTGTAAAAAGTAAAGCGATAAGAAGGAAGCTTGTGCAAATTATAAAATATTAGCCGGTACACACTTGTTAATACATTGTTTTGGTACAGATTGTCATGAGCTAGCTAAAGGAGCAGATTGGTTTTTCTGATAATTTAATTAGTAATTTCATACCGTTTTTACTTTTATTGAACAAATAAGAGTGCCTTTTTCTTCATGTCCAGTATATTTTGACATACATCAATTCTTCTCCTACTTGTTTAAAACAGTCTCTCTCCATCTTGTGGAAAAAGTAGAAATCATGGGGTTTCTAAGTAAGTTTTTCAAAGTAAATTTTAGGAAGCAATCAGTTCTTGTTCTTTACCCCCCACCATTTTTCCCTTCTACTTGAAGACCTTTGAAGTGACATTTGAGTTGAATGTTTTACCCAACCTGCTTCACCTAGCTTACTAACTTTCTGGCCTCAGTTTAAATAGAACCTACCTTGACTAGCTCCCCAGACTTACAAAGCTTGTTTTAATTATTGTTTTAGAGTGACACCACTTGCACATGGAGCTATTTATATAAACTTGTGGTTTGAAATATATGTATATGTTCTTCAACCAACAATAGTGTTTAAGCCTCCACCACTCCAATAAAACTGCTAAGAGTAGTACCAGTGACCATTTAACCTGTCCTTATCTTACTGGAAATTACTGCTGCATTTAATACTAGACCTCTCACTACTTGAGAAATTCTCTCTTTTCATAACACTATTCTTTGCTGGCTCCTCCTCCTTAGTCTCTGTTCTGGGTTGTGCTTCCTCCTCTGACTTTTCTTTCAGGTTGTTACCTTTGACCTTCTTTTTCTCACGCGACACCAAAGCTTCCATAATTAGTTAATTGCTCCATCTGGATTAGCATTGAATTTAAGGTTCTTAGTACTGTGCTGAGTTCACAAGATGATGCTGTCTCAATCAATCAGCCAGTCAATCAGTTAGTCAATCAGTGTGATTTTTCAATTTTCCTGCCAAATAGATTGATTTCTGGTTGCTGACAAAGCTGTGGATGCTGTCTTCCATGAGGTTATCCCATACAGCAGAGAGCTCAACAGCTCTTTCAGCTGGAAGTTCATAGTGAGTACATTTAAGAACTAGGTGAAAATTCAAAAGTTTGAAATAGTAAACCCCATCTCCTTCTCTACATTTCTCTTCCTAGGTTTCTTATGTCTTCATAAACTTGAGCCTGTGCCACAGCCTTACCCTGCCAAGTATTATTCAATTCCTGCTCCTCTACTTCACATCTTAAGTTGTGGTTCTCCTCATCTGATGTACCTATGGGATCAGGTTCTAGTTACAATCTTAACCCACATTCTACCCTATCATTTCCTTTCTATCCCTGTTTCTGTCTCACCTAAAATAGTACAGAAGACTCAAAATAGTACAGAAGTCTCCAGTATTACTCCCTTAAACTCTCCCTCCCTTCATGCTGCTAAACTGAACTGCCAAAAATGCAAATCTGGTTTGTCTTCCTAACCTAAACTTTCCAGTGGCTCCTTAAACCTACAGGATGAAGTTAAGGAACTCTCCTTATGGCATTTAAGGAAGGTCCTTCATGATTGGTCCTATGTACCAATCACTACTTGCCTTAAACTTATGCCCTAGAATTACTTATATTCCCCATGACCCCATGTAGTTCATGCCTGTGAACAATTTTTTTCATGCTCCTTTTATTAAATACTTTCCCCCTCACATTTATTTCATTAACTGGTTAATTCTTGTTAACCGATTATGACTCTATTTCAGTCAACAGCAGGAAATCGGTCTTGAACGAGCAAATTGGATTCTTTGCTACTTTGTGTGCTTATTTAGCATTTATTGCATTGAAATGTTGGCTTCATGAGAGAAGTGACCTAATCTATCTGCATTACAATATCCTCAGTGCATTAGTGCTATAATGGTGCCTAACATGTAATTCCCACGTATTAACTGTTTGATTATTATGGTAATCATTTCACAACATACACTTGTACATATATCAAATCAGGTTGTACACCTTAAACTAATACAATCTTATATGTCACCTATATTTCAGTAAAACTGGAAAAAATAAACTGATGAATAAATGACCTATTTACATTCCTAACCTCTCTAGACCCAGCTCCTTGAGGGCAATGACTATGACTTATTCATATTTGTGTACTAAGCATCTTGGACAGTGCCTGACAAATGGTTACTCAATGTTTTTAACTTCTGTGATCCTCACGTTTCTTTTTTCCTATATTTGTATGACTCAGTTTATGCTCAATTTTATGACTCAATTTTCCTATATTTGTATGACCCAATTGTATGACTCAATGATGGACTTTATGTAAAGTGTTCCTTTAGACAACACCAAAGCTTAAATGATCAGTTTAATAAATAAACATTTACTGAATGCTTGTTCTGTGCCAAGCATGCTGTAAAGATTGCAGTTCAAACATATAGCAAGGGAGAAATATGAAAAAAACGATGCAAAGCATTAAATGCTGAACTAGAGTTTGTATAAAGTCCTCCTTCAACATAGGTATGGAAGCAATTCTGCCTGGAGAGAAGGTCATGGTTCAAGAAAAATGATAGAGGAAATATTTGAGCAGAACCTGCAAAGGATTAGGAACAGCTAGGTTGGTAGATAGGTGGAAAAGGCACATAGGCAAAATGAACAGCGTAAGCAAATGAATAAATGTACTCGATGCTGTGGAATAGCAAGCGGTCTAAAGGTACAGGGATTGTGACAGGAGATGAAGCTGGGGCTAAACTTTTTTTTTTTCTTTTTATATATATTTTTTATTGTGAAATACACATTTTTTAAAAATTAGTTTCAGCTGTACAACACAGTGCAATAGTATTACTTTTTACCTCTTGAAGTGACAACCCCCCTCCCCCAATCCGCCGCCCCACTTCCCCCCAATACCATACATATCTATTACAATTCCCTTGACTCCACTCCCACACTATACTCCACGTCCCATGAC